GTTCCTATCAGCAAAGTTTATCCCTGGAGCCTTTTACAAAAACTCACACCACAGCAAAGCAGAGCAGAGCAGAGCATGTTCCCTGAGAAGACGTCCTGTACTGTACGTTTCAGATTATCACATCAAATCACTGTGAATTCTCATACTCACTCCCCATGATCTTCAGCCCACTTTTAAACATGTTGGCCGCTTGCGTGTATGATTTCCAGTTTGGTCGTTAACGCTGCTGTTGTCCCAGTTCAGACCATCTGAAATCCTGAGTGTCACGAAGCCGTCATCCTACTAACAGGGGATCGAACCCTTTCTGGCAAATTCTTAGTATTTGGTTTGATATGAACTTTGCCCTTTGTTTTGGAACATGCTGTTTTTTTTGTTTTTTTCCTCTGCTTGGTTGGTTGATTTTTTTGTTTTTTTAGTCTGGTAGATGTTGCTCAAGGACTGAACAGGCCTATCGCATTATCTGAAAAAAGAAAAAAGAAGCTGTGAGAGCATTACCGACGCTTGAAGAGGACTGAGTGTTTCAGGTAAAGACATTACGTTGAATCATAACGAGGCATTGTTGTGCTGAAGCTTTGATCATTTCCTGTGTTTGCTAACGCTAACGCTAGTCTCTTGTAAGATGAGCCAGATCCACATAACTCTATATTTCCAGACTGCAGGGCTCTCTATCAGCGTCCAAGCTTAGACCTCAAGTCAAACGTCATGTCAAAAGTCAATATTGAATCACATGTTGCTCCCTGTGCATTAAGCTCCCAGCGTGAACCAACTTCACCTGAGGTAAACACTGAGAGCGTTCAGTCTTATCTCGGCTCTGCCTGAATCATTTCATTCAGAGCTCCAGAGATGAACACAATCATCGTCCTTGAATGACTCCTCCTACCGACACTGTGTGATTAAAGTCTGTGATTAAAGTCTGTCTGTCACCTTTGTCAACATGATGTAGTTAACAACCATGTGCCAGATGTTGTAACAGCTACTCTAATATTAACTTTATTTTGTATGGCACCTTTTAAAAACAGAGAGCTTTGACAAACGGATCAAAAACAATGATCGTCAGGACAAATGATATGCTTCAATATAAATAAGGACAATTAGAGGGAGAAGATGCCGTATAGAAACACACACACACACAGTACAAGCAATAAAAGGGTGACATGAAGACGATAAAAAGATAAAAATACGATAAAAAAAGATGTAATCACATAAAGAATTCCTCGCTAAACATGCTGTGATCAGGCCACACACTCAGACCCAAAAACTACTTGCGCAACTCTGACATTAACACACTTTACGACGACTGCAAGGCAACGTCTGCAGGTCAGGACAAACTTGATTGTCACCGGTCTGTTTCACAAACAGAGGCAGCAGCAGCCAGGTGTCCGCCTGTCTGCTTAGCACGTCTGCTAGCTTTACTACAGACTATGACATGTGGCACAACTGTGGTAACATGACCGTGGACACATGCCCGACATCTGTGCGCATGATTATTTTAGCTTTCTGCGAAAGTAAACAAACAGTGAAATCAGCGAATTCATCAAACCGTGACAGTCTGATGACAACAGAAGCAGCCATGATTTATTTTGTGCAAACTGTGAAGAAGAAAATATTCTACAGCATCAGTCTTAAAGGAAGACGTGCCGAAGCTGCTGTTACAAGCAGACAAGACTGACATGAAATGCATCACTTGATAAATATAAATGAAGCGTGTCCTGTCCAGCTGCTTTACCTGTTGGTACAGTGATGTGCAGCAGGGTGAAAAGAAGACACCGACCACAGCTCCGACCTCCTGCTGCACAAACACAGCAGATGATGAAAAAGAAATAAGCTACCACTGGATCCACCGGCTTCCAGCAAAAAAAAGAAAAAAAAACGCCTCCTCAGGGCAGGAGCCGTGTTCTGATGTACTCCCTGAATGAACCGGCCGAGGAGGAGGAGGAGGAGGAGGAGGAGGAGGAGGAGGAAGAGGAAGAGGAAGAGGAAGAGGAAGAGGAAGAGGAAGAGGAAGAGTAGGAGGGTATGCAGGGGGGCAGAGGAGGAGGGGAGCCAGGCCGGTAGTCCAGAGATGTTACAGAAACAGTGGCCTGCTGTACATGCGAACAGCCCAGCTGTGGCGGATCAGAGCTGGAGGAGGAGGGAGAGGAGAGCGCCCTGCTGCTGGAGGATGCAGCCAGCATTTAGTCCTTTGTGCGTTGTGTCAGCAAGGATTACCACAGTGGAGGAGGAGGAGAGGAGGAGAGGGAGGAGAGGGAGGAGGATGGTCAGGGATAGTGGCTGCCTGATGAGCGCTGCATTCAGGTCGTCGTTCTGTGGCTCTCACATGAAAACAGGCCAGTGGGCTTCGCTCCGCATACGACTCCTCTGATGCTGTAGTCCATCACTGGACGAGACGCGAGCGTCAGTGACACGCGTGTGAAGCCGACACGCTCACGGATCAATGTGCAGGAAAACATGCGCATCAAGCCTCTACATAAGGATGTACAGCCCTGTGTTTCACAGCCCGCGGGGACACCATTCGCTCTGCTGCCAATGAGCAGACAAGCAGAGGACAGAGGGGAGGGGGGAGGGGCATACGTTTCAGGGGGAGGGTCTGGATGTTGTTATTTTTTTGGGGAGAGGAGGTGGGGGCTCGGGGAAAAGGAAAGGGGTGGGGTTGGAGGAGATTTTGATGAATGAGCACCTGCCATGGTGCTCATTTACAGTCGCAAACTGGTTTGTGCAGCCGCTGCTGGTGAGCTGGCAAAACCAACCCCGAGCCTCCTCCAGGCGCACACAGAAAAGTAGGAGAGAGATATTGTGTGTGAGTGTGTGTGTGTGTGTGTGTGTGTGTGTGTGTGTGTTGTTTCCCAATGCTTTTCTAGCCTTGAACAATACTCTTCAGTGTGGCCACAGCTGTGGGAGACATCAACAATATGGTCCCAAAAAAACAGCCAAAACAGCATTCTGTTGATGCTGGCACACACACGCACGCACGCACGCGCACACACACACACACACACACACACACACACACACACACACACACACACACACACACACACACACACACACACACACACAAATGTACAGCTGGCATTGTCAGGGCATGAATAGCCAATGAATGAATGGGGGCTTAGGAAGTGGTTGAGACTCAGGCTTATAATGAAGTTTATTACTCCGCTCTCCCATCTTGTAAACAAAGCTGCTGCTGTCCATGTAATAGACTTGTTAGTGTAGATCATATAAAAAATGGATGCTTTCATTCACACAGTTGAAATATGGGCATGTCGCAGCCTGAGATAGAAACACGGACAGACACTGGGATATTGTTTCAAGGTGTGTCTGCTCAGCCAATCACTGCACTGTATGGAACCTCCACTATATTATATAAGACAGGAAGGAACGGAGAACATGTTTCAAACCAGCTGCTGAAAAAACTACTCTACTGTCCTGTGTCCTTACTGCTCAGGTTAAAGCATCCTGTTACCATGACGACACGTCAACCCCTCACTTATTTATGTAACATCAACCTTTCCAACACTGTACGGTACGGCTGGGCGATTAATTTTATTTTCAGCTTCCAACGATTAAGAGAAGAAGATAATCGCGATATCGTGATTTCAATATTTTATTATTATGATTATATGATTATAGAATAGAGAATTTAAGGAAAAATAATAATAAACCTTAAAAGGAAGAAAAGCATCAGTGTTTCAGTGTATTCTTACTGGATCCTCTCCTCCTACAAACTGCTGCCAAACATTCTCACAGAGATCAATGACTTTATTCAGTCTGTATGAAAATAGACGACTCTGAGGTGCCGACTGTCTCCGGACAGCAGGATTCACTGCAACTCAAACCGTCATCTGTCTCACTATTACAGGCTGCCGGTCCTGGTATACTAAACTTACAGTCTCAGAGTGTGAGGGGGATTTATTTTATTAGGATTTTTTTCTGGAAATTCAATTGGTTAACTTATTATTGTGACTGATCAAAGTGATCTAAAAATACTGTAAATGTGACACTGTCACGCAGCAATGCAGCTCATTCGTCTCCAAGCTTGTCCACAATGGTCTTATACAACCAAAGATATTAATAGGACAGCTGACCCGATGAATTTGTTATTTTTATCATCTCATGCTAAACACACATTGTCGTACTGCCCGACCTTATGCAAAGCACAGTGCAGCAGCTCACTGGTCGACAGTAAAAGTCTAACCACACTGGAAATATGCAAGTTTAAGCTGATATTTTTGAACTGCCGAAACCAAAACACGCCCTCGGTTCACAGCAGGATACAGGCCGGTGAGTGTCATCCAGCAGAGACATAATGGATATGAGGGAGTTTTATTGATTATATATTGTGTAACTGAATCAATATGACTGGTTACGCACTAGAAGCCTTTAATCTGTGCTGATTACGTTTCTTTTTGTTTCATACAAGTGCCTCAGGTTCGACTTCCTATTTCAGTGACAGTAGAAAAATATTACATTTAAAACTAGTGATTATTTGGCACAAATGTTGCAAACTGGTTAGTGTGAAGACTGTTACTGCACTGTGGTGACAAGCTCCGCATTTCAATATCACGTCTGTCAGCTTTTTAAATCTTGGTCTGATCATTTTCTTAATAAAAAAGTGATGTGAAGTGATGCGTAAAAACAGTCAGCATTAATCACTGAAACAAAATGTGGCTACAGTCCTCAAGCTGGATATTTTTAACTTGCCCTTACAGTTACGTTAGTACATTAATTGTATTAAATTAGAATATCTCTAAAAGAGTTTGGAGAAATGATGTAGAAGTTATTTGTGTTCCAGTATTAAACTGTTAGAAGAAACATGTTTGGAAACAAAATGCAAACCAAGAATTTACAGAAAGAACAAGCAATCAAAATTCAAACACACGAACACAGCCCCTAAAAACACATCTCTACCTTAAAGTATTTCACACAGGCTGCCTTTAAATCAGCAACAGAAAGATGAAGACAGGAGGAAACCTTTTCCAAAAGTGATTACAAAGTCTTACCTTGAGAATTTCCACACAATATTTTCCCCATTTCTTCTCAACCGCAATCACCTCTGTTTTTCTGACCCACTAGTCATTTCTGTGATGTAAGCCAGAAAACATTTCAAACTTGATTACTGTGATTTAGATTTGTGGAGCCAAGAAGGGAGAACAAGGCTAGAGAAAAAAGCAATGACTGAAACTTTGGTCTAGAGTAGGTGTGGCTATAAGAGCAATCCTGACTATGTCCAGTTGTAGCTGGGCTTTGCTTCATCATACCGGACGACCAGGCGGGATGACAGGTGTGAGGGGTTACTGCTGCAGAACTGAATGTCATAGTCCAAACACATGTGACTCAGAAACAACTGTGGCAATGATTTCTCTAACAGCGCTCCTGACATTGCTGAAATGTACATAAGAGGATAGGGCACACATGTGAAAAGAAAAATTTATTCAGAATTCTGACTTTTTTTTCTCAGAGTTCTGAAAAGTTTAAAATCCACATGGAGCCACCTGATTTTTTTTTAAATAATTTCTGACTTTTCTCAGACCTCTGACACTAAAAAAAATCACATAGGGCCACATGTGAATTTTTCTTTTTTTCAAAATTCACATGTCCACATGTGAGAATTTTTGGGGGAAATTCTAAGAAAAATCTTTGAATTTTCTGACTTTTTTTTTCTCATTATCCTAAAAAAAACATTTTTTAGAAAAAATAAAAAATAAATTTAAAGTCGGAATTCTGAGAAAAAATCGGACTTTTCTGACTTTTTTTCCAAGAATCCTACAAATAAATTAATTAATTAATTAATTTAAAAAAAAATTTAAGTCAAAATTCTGAGAAAAAAGTCGGAATTTTCTGACTTTTTTTCTCAGAATCCTAAAAACATTTTTTAGAAAACATAAAAAATACATTTAAAGTCAGAATTCTGAGGAAAAAGTCGGACTTTTCTGACTTTTTTCTCAGAATTTAGATTTTTTTTTGTTTTGTTTTTCACATGTAGCCCTAATCCTCTTTGGTGTGCTCCATGTGCTTCTGTCGTTCTGAGCTCATGTCAGGTGACAGCCACTGTTCCTACCATCCAACACAATGTAAGGTACAGACTGACACCACTGGCCAACGCTGACAGGTACAGTGAAACAACCGACACCGCCCACTAGTCAGTTAGCCTAAGTTAGCTAACCAGCTAGTCAAGTGAAAGCCCTGATACTTTCAAATCTCTCATGTGGTGACAACGTTACACCAAAACCTCGTTTAAAATGTGTCCATGTAATTACATAGGTCAATGAGGAGGGCACCCACACGATATAATAAAGACAAACCGATGACGAATGCGAATCGATAGTCGAAACTCATCAGTTTAATCGCTAAACACGGACAGTACCGACCCAGAGACATTACTTTTCACAGCCGAAGTGACAGCTCCTAAAATCAACATCTGACGGAACAGTCGTTCCTCTCGTCCATTATAACACATCGCTGTTTTGACTCTGACGGGAACATTAACTGACCACGTTGAATCTTTTAAACTGAAGTGAGGCGGGACAGCTCACATGTAAACGTATCATTACACAGACATAAACCGAAGCGTGTAACGACAAGCTGGTTACCGGTTAATTAGGCAAAATTTGTGAACTGAATTCTGCGTGTCTTTGCAATAAGAGGTGATGTCGGGGTTGTGCGTACTGATAGCTTGTCTAACACTGACGCTAGCTAGCTAACTCATGTTTGGCCATCCTTTATTGGAACAAAACACAACTTCTTTACTGGTGTAGCTACTTACCGGCCGTCTGTCAGCAGTGTTTACTGTGTGGTCAAATGTAATTCCGTGTCGCTGTCCACCACCAACACTGACATGACTTAATTTAGGACAAACAAGTATTTACTACACTGTGCGGCTCTGCAGCACACAGCCATGACAACACGCCCATGCATTGCGTCACTAATAATGCTGCCTTCACGTGCTCCTCGTAATAAATATAACAAAACCTGAATTCAAACATGTTTAGTTTCACGTTTTTTTTAATGAACCGAATAAAAATTGTTATGAAAGTAAATGGAAGGAATATTTTGTTTAATATGCATTTTCTTGTACTTCCTCTCCAGATCTTAACAAATGGATGGAGTCTATGTTAGAGATTGTTTCATATGAACAAGGTGAAAACTTATAGAAGTCTTCGGACCTGTTTTGTGCTCACAGCATGAGTGGGACACTGATGATCAGGTTGTACTACTTTAATCACTACATTTTTATTTTGGTTGTTTTAAAAATGTGCATTTACCATGGGCCTTTGAATACCTCATAACCAGAGGTGATAATTCTGTCTGTTTGTGTATATTCAAATAAATAAATAAAATTTTCTACTAATTATCAGGTTAATAAATCTTTATTTCTCTCTTTGTGTTTATTGTATCATTATCAATATTGTTATTATTGTTATTATTACACATTAAAAAATAATGTCACAATTGTTGTCATTGTTACTGCACTATGTTTACAAAATAAAAATTTGGTTTGATTTTTTTTGTAAAACATCATTTTAAATTATTCAATAATGATGTCAGTAGATAAGTAAGTTGTTGTCAACAATCTACTGTATATTACCTGTCAAAACATTTGCTTAATAAACTGGACTCCATTGGAATAATAAGAGATAGAGTAGTAATTTACTTTGCAATGTGCAGATATGCAAAACAACAAATACCTGTTTTCCTTTTATGGAGAGTGAACATGTAAAAAAAAGCACACAAACATGTCACAGTTCCCCAAATCTTCACTTGTAATCAGGTCTTTGTTGGACCCCTGGTGGCCCTGGGGCCTTCAGCAGTCAACCATTTAGTTGCATCATGCCTCGAGCCTGTGTCCTTCTCTGTCTCATTTCTCTTGAAGTGAACTCAAAGTGTTTTCAAATCTGCTAGGAGCCACAGGGTTAAACGACTGAATGGTTTCCCTTAATAACATAATGCAATTTCATAATACGATCATATTAATATGATGCCTTTACTCTGAGACACAGATTTATGAACTTCTTTATTCAGATTTTTAATGAACTATTTACAACATTTACAAGCTGGGAGTGGCATCAACTGCCCCACATGTCTTGGGGCTGTGGGTGGAAACAAGAGCACCCACAGAGATGCAAAGGGAGGCCAGGTAATTTATTTAAGTGAAGCCTGAGGTGAACTTCTCAGAAAAAAAACCCAATTAAAGCATTTGAGTCTAAATTCACTCAAGCACTGAAACTAATCTGACGAGTCAAAAAGCTGGAAATGTTTCCTCAACAGCCTGAGCCTAAGTGGAGAACAAATAATAGGACAGACTGCACAGACTGCATGCAAATTGATAGCAATTGTACATGAAAATGAATGCTCTAATATCTGTTAATAATATGGCTTTTGTGCTTTTTGTTTCCCTGTTTCAGAATGACTTTCTTCTGAGGATGTTTTAAGGAGTTTTTAAGAGACACAATAAACTGCCAAAAACAAAAATCTGGTTTTATGAATGTTGTGCTGCAGCAGTGGAATAAAGCCTAATCAAAAATAGTGATGCCACCAGAGATTTTGCCTGTTAAAGACACAGGAAGTACAAATAACACCCACTAGTTAAACTGTGTATCTGACCCTGCAGACTGGGAATTTACCAGTAATTACACAAAGTACATAACAGCTGTGGCTGTTGGTTTAAAGGTTGTCCAATACTGCCTCCTGCTGACAAAAAACACCATTACACAGAATTACATAGGTGTTTTTTTTTTCTTAAATAAAACTACAAAACTGTCCCTTTAATTAAAAACATTTGTGGAGGACGTATGTTATGTGTGAAGTCAACAGTATTCCTGTGGTGTCTGTTGCCATTAAGTGTCATTTTAAACAGTGAATACACTTGAAACTTTTCATATTCAAGTTCATATCCTTCTTATAGTAAATGCTAACTTTGTATCTCGTTACCAACAAAAAGGAAATGTCCATACAACAGAATATATGCTGCTCTGTTACTACGGCCGCACCTGCAGGTCGCAGCTTGATGACTGAGAACAGAGATATTTTACTGGTTTAGCAGCAAGATGAAGTTTTTTGTTTATTTGAATGGAGATAAAGGAGCTGCTTTATTTTGTTAACCTCTCAATATTTCTCCATATTTCTACACTTTAATGTGTAAATAAGAAAAATAACAATAAAAACTGTTCATCATCTTGTCCTTAAACCAGTAAAATATCTCTGCTGCTTGTTGTATTATCACATTTGTTTCAGTTTAAAGAAAAGTGAATTCCATTGATCCAAAATGAAAGACATGCGGAACTTCACCATCAGTGAATTTTATTACAATCCCATGAAATATTATTTGGCTCTCCAAAAAGAAAATCACAATGAGCAAATGAACAGTATGTACCATACAGAGAGTACAGTGTTGAGGATATTAGTTTATTGATGTTTTTATGTGTCTTGAAGAATTACAAATATGGCAACTGTAGTTTTTATCACATGTCCTTATTTGTAAAAATGTTGCCCACCTCTACAAAATGACACCAACACTTCTTACCAACACATTACAGGGGGCTTAATACTGAAAAAAAACATTGTATTATGCTCGTGTCACAGAGGAGGATCTAAACTAAATCTCTGTTCAACATATAAATTAAAGAATAAATTAAAGCCAGTGAAAGTCCTCAGACAGCTTCGTACAAATACAAGGAGATACATAAACTAGTCTGTGTTAAAACAACAAAATTTGAAATATCAAAGCTAATAAATCACAGTAACGGCAAGCTGCCAGGAGGCGCCAGAATGATCCCGAACACGTAGAAAAGTCCCATGAGGAGGTTGAGCTTGGCGGTCTTCTGGGGGATCTTGGCGTAGCATCGGCTGCGGAACTGCTTCTCCAAAGGGAACGCCATGGGCAGCGTGAGCAGAGGCAGCGCCATGCTGATGGTGTACCGGGTGGCGAGGATGCAGAAAAGCACGTAGGGGACAAAGAGCAGGAGGTTGTAGAGGACGTAGGAGAGCGTGGGGCCTACGAGGATGGCCAGCGTGACGATGCCCGCCTGCTTGTCAGAGTCCATGTCTCTGGTGTTGTTGCTGTGGAGGATGGCCTCCGTGTTGAGGGCCAGCGGGACAGCGTACACCAGGGGCAGCACCGACAGGTAGCCGACCTGCACCGCATGGGCAAACATGACTGCCAGAGGGCCGAAGGTAATGAGGATTACCACGTCTCCAAGGGCCACGTACTTGAGGCCGATGCCTGGGGGAAAGAGTAAACAGAAGGCACATTTAACCTTTTGATTAGTGGTTGTCAACATCAAATCCCCCCGGTGCAGAGGTGTAGCAGCATGTTTTCAATCCTCTCTTCACCTCTCTGGCTGCGTATGTGCAAATCAGACCGGTCAGAAGGATAGGAATCAAACCTAATTGATTATTATCAACATGTTCTTTAGGCTTCTGACTGCAAGTGTGATAATAACTGAAGAGATATTCCTGAAGTTTACAGCATTTTCATAAAGTTCAATGACTCTAAGGACACTGAACATTTTAAGCAAAGAGTGGTTTAAATCAATGCTGCAGAGACATCCTGACTTTTACTCCCTCACATGCTGAAAGCTCTAAAAAATAAATGGCTCCTACACTTCCCATAATGCAACAAATATACAGTTGTTCAAACTTCACACACACAGGTTATAACACAGGGTTTCTCTTTCATATTTATAGACTTGACAAAGCTCCTCCAGAGCAACAGAACACAACTTCACGACCGCATGTGTCCCCCCTTTAATGAAAATTTTTTTTTTAGATAAAACCAAAAACAGTATTAGCATGAAACACAAAGTGGAGCTGCAACATTAACGAGCATCCCGTCTTTCCAACTGTTCTGCTGAATGAAGTCCTGATGGGAGGGTGAGCTGTTTGGACCTCTCCTCTCGCAGGGAGTGATGAATTGACATTTTAACCTCTTTCTGACGTGCACTTTACTTCATGAAGAAATGCAACACATCAGTGTCATGTTTGAAAAAAGACAGCAACTGCCTTAAAGGGCCAGTACACCCAAATTACAACAAAAAAAAAACTCTTAAGTTTGATGGTTGATGCTGTCAAGGTCAAGTAATAAATTTTTTTTTCTTATTTACCATCAATCCATGTAGTTTCAGTTTCATGTGGAGGTTTTATCTGGAGCCGACGACACACCACTGCTGAGTGTTTCAAATATAATTGGCAGAGCACCGAGCTGCAGAAATGAAACTCAACTCGACTTTTTGAGGACGGAGGAGACGTTTCTGATGTGAATATATCAAAACCCTTGACACATTAAACCCAAACTATTTGCATGGCTCGAAAACCGTACGTGGCATGTCAGAGCTTGACCATTCAGCTGCAGTGAATGTCCGCTCTGTTCAGATAAAGGTGATCTTACCAGTCTTTGTTTTTTTTTTGTTTGTTTGTTTTGCTCTTTGATAATAAAAACATGACAGAGTGACCACGTTGCAAACAATAAATGTGCTGTGTGCACTTTCCTGGCATCAAACACAAGGTCCTACTTTCCAAACAGCAACCTTTAGCTGCCACCTGGAGCCACTAACATGCAAATGTAGACATGTCTGCGTGCGTGTTTATGCTCTTAGTGACTGAGGTGACTGATAAACAGCGAGGCAGCAATCCAAGAGATTCAAGTTAATAACTGACTCACCTCCAGTGTATAAAAAAGAGCTGGACAGTCCCCCAAAGTAAATAAGAGCTAGGTGCTCCAGTCTGAGTGTAGACAGGAAGTAGAGCAGAGTGGCACACAAGCACCCTAAAGAGTATAACAACGCTCCGAACATAACAACATCCTGCGGTGCCAGTATTTCATCCACAAGAGTCCTATCGTCACTCTTCTTATGGTCAATCCCTTTGGAGAAGTCATAATAGGTGTTCACAAGGTTGCCCGCCCCGTGGACTACGAGGACGGCGACCGCGCACACCATCAGGATGACCAAGTCCACAGAGCCCTCCAGTTTATACGCCAAGGCGCTGCCGAGGGCCACCGGCGTGAGCGAGGCACTGAAACTCCACGGTCTCAGTGCCAGCACATACGCCGCACATTTATGCCTGACATTTGATGCGACACGGGCCATCCTCGACCTGTGGTTAGCGCCTGGAGGGTAACCGACCATGTTATTCAGACCAGTCTGCCATTGCTGGCCATTGTGACCGTTAGATCCAGCCAGAACAAATGTTTCTGCCCTGCTTTGTTTCTGCTCTTTGGCCATTTCTCTGCACGGCGTCTACAGTCCCAGCAACGTTCCCAAATGTCACAGTCTGCTGATCCTGTAACGATAAACACAAGTCAGAGAAATCACAAGACAGGTGACAGGTAAATCACACACTACGGCCTTCATACATACGTACTACAGCTGCACAATGTGCAAAATAAATCCTATTATACTGCGATTATTTTGGCAGATATTGCGATTTCAGTTGGAATAGTCATTTCTGCATTTTTATTGATGCTGATGTGATTTTTGTTGGTCTTGTACCAAACAAACATGTTTCCTTTACGGCTGGGGAATATCATTTGTAGTCCGGGGCGTCTCTGTAGCACCACAACACTTACGGCGCCAACAATGCACAACAATGTGACACATTTTAGTTTTAGTCAAAGAAAAACTGCAGCTTCTGCGACTTTTTTCCAGCTTCTGCGATTTGGATAATGTAGCTGATTATATTTCTATTAATTGTAATAAGTATAAATCCCCTTTTATAAAACAGGGCTCAGCAGCAAACTGTAATGCTTTGAGGACTAATTAAAATGTGCATGTAGTGCTGTATGTGGAAAGGTGTGAAGTATCATAGGTTGGCATCAAATCTGCGCTTGTTCACTTAGTTTATAAAAAGATATTTGAATCACTTATTAAATCAGGACATTACGTTTTTATTTCACAAACTGGGTAAAAAAAGAAAATACCTTAGTATCAGATATATTGAATAAAAACTGTCACACCTACCTCCTGTTCCACAAAAGACCATTTAAGACATATCCAGGACTTGCATGTATGTCCACGTGCTCATATTAGTTTATAAATGACACTTATTATTATTAAGTATGAGTATTAGTTGCATGACAGATATAGTTGCTGCAGCAGATTTGTTAATGAGGAGATCCAATCTGCCCCTGGGGGTTAGAGAGGGCAGACAGCGGGGACACAAAAAGAAACTGACCGGAAGTTGTAACGTTAACGTTCCAGTGACAGAAACCTTTCTGTCAAACACTTTAAATTCAAAGAGAAGCGGGTGGTTTCAGAGCTGATCGAACATAGGCTAATTGATTAGCTTGCCAATACACGTGGCATTTCGTTTTAAACCAACCCCACTCTCAAACTGCTCTATACGGGGGGAGGGGGGGGGATAAGGACATCGATCCCGGGAGGGGGGCAAACAACCTTAGGCTAACGGCTGAGATTATGGGATTAGAGCTAACGGGCTAGCCACCGAGCTAATGTTCTCTGTAAGGGGACGGCAGCTCTTACCAGCTATGTCTTCAATATCCGACACAACCCGGACTCCGCTCCGCTTAAAAACATGTTTCTGTGCCCGCCGAGCCCGGTACGGTGAGAGGCAGAGTGGTGGCTTACGTGTCAGCTTCGAGGGTATGTGACTGGTTGGCCACTGTGCAGTCTGCTGCACCTGACGGGCGCCATTTCCTCCGACAGAAGTGCAACGCCGCAAAGGGGGTCGAAGAAACAAACCCTTTCTTACAAATGGTTCCGACCTGTGTGTGATTTGTGGCAAATAATTTGGTACAATACGACAAATAATGAAAAATGAAATAAAATGAGACAATAAAAATTAAATGTATATAATCCCCCCATTACATATACCCTCATATATATATATATGAACTTTATTTATATAGCTTTTCTTAACAAAGTTACAAAGTGACTTACGTAAAGAAAAATGGGGAATTAAACACAGCAATTAAAAACAAACAAATCATTTTATTTTATTTACTTATTTATTCATTTATTTTCTCTCTCTTTTCTGTTGGGTGTGCTATACGGCTGCGGTGGGAGTATTGTATGTTGTTCTGTTTGTTTAAACTCAATAAAAAAGTATATAAAACAAAAAAACAAACATCATAAAGCAGAAGTAAGTTACATGAAAATATGAATTGTCTGTATAATGGGAAAATAAAACACAAGAACAAATCAAACAAGCTTTCCAATAAAAGTTTAAGAAGATAATAAGAAGAGTTTTAATGATGCTGCCTCTAACAGCAAACGTCACCTGTAGTCACCAGCCCAGACCTGGGAATAACCAGGTGTAGTGCTGTAGTTATGTCCATTTGTTTAGTGGGTATAATTTCACATTAGGCCCTAAGAGCCTACAGCAATGATTCCCAGTCCACCCAGAGCACTCTAACAAGCCAATGAAAAACTTGAAATGAACTTGAAACCACCACCTTTGAAACATTTTTTATTAAAGTTAAGGTCGCTTTTTCACAACAGACATTCTGATTTCTCATCGTAGGAAAAGCAGAGGAGTTATTATTAACTGAGTCGTGACAGGTCTCCACCACAAACAATACCACAACCACGGAGTTTACATAATGATGTGCAGCCATCGTTCATGTTATTACCAGTAATTACACATGTGCTATTATGTTTTTGATTCAGGGATCTGACTGTGTGATGGGATGTTGCTACTTAACCATTCATTTTTTGTGTGTTTGAAAAGAAAGTAGAAGGCCACTGCACCAAACTTCAGAAAATCAACTTCATAGTAAAGATCCAGAGCTGCCCCAGAATTTTAATGAGTTCTTCCCTGGCCCATCCCTCCACCAAGTTCAGTGCAAATCAGTACTTTTTGCATAATCCTGCTGATAAATAAACAGACACCGGTGAAAAGAAACCTCCTTGTTCGAGGTAATGAGTTAAAATTAAACTCATGGAGCGTCCTTGTGAATCCCTAAACTGAACTTTACTTGGACAACCATGGGTAATAAAAATCATGTGTTCTCAGTCTGTCAGACAGTGGCGTACACAAGGGGGTGGGTGTCATGGGTACAAAAGTGCCCCTTTAATTCTTGTCAGCATCCATCATTTTGCAAAACAAAAGACAATTTGAAAAAGACCAAATAAGTCAAAAAAGATAAGCCAGGTATTCATCACACACACCTCTGGGCCCCTCAGCTTTTACCTAAACTCACTGTGGCTCCTGCAATGTTCAGGTCATATTGTCCTCACTGGACAAAAATGCAAATTACAGAAGTTCTGAAACTTTTTCAAAACTCTACAAAATAAAAAATGTAAAAGAAAAACACACTGAAGCTGTTTAAAACCTGGAGTAATTCATGTGGTAAAATGCTCAATTGCATTTAGTTTGGAGTTGAGATGGTAACAGGGTCATTCTCCCTCTGTCCAAATGTCTGGTTTGTTTTCTGCCCTGCTCCTCTGAGTGTCTGTGCAGGCAGCAGTGGGATAAGGAGAAGACTAAACTCTGCTCTGTCCCAGCAGCATTACATAAACCTCAGAAAATCATGTTCAAAATAAGCCATCTGATTCTGCTTTAACGGAACTCTGGCGGTTGCAGCAAGTGGTTTGATGGACAGAGCGCGTTTGGTTTTCATTAGATTGTCTCGACACTGACCCCCTGCCCCATCTACAGTAATGTGAAACCAGCCCTCTGGCAGGCGAGCTGTGTGGAAAAGAGCCGTGCAGAGCTCATGCAGTCTGCACTGCTTCCACTACCCGGTCCGCAGGCTGGACTGCGCTGCCGCACTCTGCACCAGGAACTACCCGAGTAGTGACACACTTACCGAAACGTGCAATGGCCAAACGGGCATAGATGGTAAACCTGTGTAGTCTTCGCTGAGGGTATAACTTGTTGTTTTTCCTGGAGGTGTGATATCGGAGCCATGGTGTGCAGTCAGACTCCCAGAAGTTTAGGAAGAGGCGACCGGGGCTTCGCTCCGCTGCTGGCTGCTGCTGCGCTGCTCGGGCTGCTGTTCGCAGGGATGCAACAAACCACAGCGTTCCCCACCTGGAGGTTAGAGGTATGCTGTGACCACTTCATGACCCGTAGGAGATCTCACTCCAGCTGTGAAGTCCAGTGTATTGTGTGCTTTGTAATTATTAAGTTATGTAAGTAAGCTGTTGTCTCCTTGATTATTTCAGAAAACACAGCACCAAACTCCATTCAAAATTCTGCTTCTTAACATTTGCCTCTCCTTTCTGTGAAGCGACACGTCCTGGATACTTTGATTTAAATTATTTTTAATTATTAAAGGTCATTTGTCAATTCGGCATATGCAGTATTGATATTACACGAGGCAACACTTAATATAACTAACTTATAACTAACTAACTTTTGTAAGTGGATGTTTAAACTCCTGTTGACTGTCCTCCTCTAATACAGGAGCAGTTCTGACTCTAAATGTGAAAGTTTGAGTTTTATTGTAATAAAGTGACACTCAGTGGATCCTTTATTGCCCCGAATTCACCACAAGTACGTAAAGATTAATAACCTGCCTTATTATATGTTGTACAAGCTGTGTATATTTGACAGTCAGGAAAATTAAATGAAATTATAACATTTTTTAATGAAGTATGGTCTGGACAGGTGTCAGGACAATGAACAGACTGAATGAGCTTTTAAGAAAAAATAGCCCCAGCATCATTCACGTGATTTTCATTTTACTTTTATTATGTAGAAGTGAAGTCCCAGCTTTTAAAGACTTTTAATAGGGGTCCACTGTCCATGCATTCAATCACCCCCCCCCACCCCGGTTTCCTTAAACGTACCATTAGTTAGACATCATCAGATGAAATCACTCTTACAGCTCAGCCACAGGCAGACGCGTCACATTCAATTAATGTCAGGGGTAAGGTTCAGAAATGAGGATGATGGATCCTGTAATCAGGTTATAGACTGTGGAGAGGATCCCTGCGCAAAGACTATCTTAAGTGAATTGGATAAATGTGTTAACTCCAATCGGTGCCATCCTCCCGCTGCGATACAGAGCCCGGGGGAGAGCTTTATGTCATTTCCTTTGCCACACTCTCTCATTATATGTCAGTCAAGAAGACTGCCGGTGAGGATTACGTAACCGCCTTAGATAAGCTCCTTGGGGGCCTCCAGAATAAAATATAAAAGACACATGAGAGTATAAATTTATCAGCGAGTGAATAAATGTAGGTCAAAGATCATCTTGAATGTGTTTCCTTTTTTTTTTCTTCTTCCCTGAACTGTTTGCATGATTCAAAGTTTTAGAGAAAAGTATGACAACCCTCTGAGTCAGCACTCCCCTCACTGGCTGCACGGCTCAGTCTAACGCGCCTGTTTCGGGCCTCATGGTTTACGGTTCATCTTTATTTGCGCCAAAGTGTGAGATTAGATTTGCAGTGAGTATAACGAGACACGACACGGAGAGAGAACCGAGCTGGCCTCACTACATTAAACACCTCGTAAATCACCGAGCACAAGACTCCGGCGTGTCAGCCGAGGTCAGGGGAACGCGCCTGTTGCGTAAAACAACCGACCTGTGACATATAATGAAACGCAGAGACTTTATCTTTAACATGAGAGCCGGAGAGACGTCGCCCAGCGGTGTCAGACAGTCCACCAGACTGCCTGCCCCGGTTTCACTATGTTGGCAAGGAAATGAAGGAAGTACGGCATCTCCTCGTCCTGACTGGGCGAAGCAGGGACCAGGAACCAGAGGATAGGGTGTAGAATACAAAGTGAAGGGAGTGGCTTTGATATTTGTTCTCCATCCACTGCGGGGTTTTTTTTTTTTTTTTTTTTTTTTTTCCAGAGTAAGAAAATGCCGGAGCACAGGTCTCCTGTTTATCATCGGTGGATTCCTCACAGTGAAAACTTGAGACAAACGTTTAAATCCTGACTACTTTTTTTTTCTTTTTTTTTTGAATATTTAATTTTTCACATTTATTTTGAACAATTTTTGTTGTTTGTGTGAAATTGTGTCATAATTTCTGTGTGAAGTCTTGAGTAATGGCTAAAAAAGTGTTTTCTGAGGTGACCTTTGACCTTTGACCACCAAAGTCTAATAAGTTCCTCCCTGAGTCCAAGTGAATGTTTTTGTGCTAAATTTGAAGAAATTCCTTCAAGGCGTTACGGAGATATTGCGTTCACAAGGCGAAAAAATCAGTTTTTGTGATCTCCCCACACCTGTGGCCTTTGACCTTTGACCCCCCCCCAAAATCTAATCAGTTCGTCCTTGAGTCCTAGTGAATATTTGTGCCAAATTTGAAGAGGTTCCTTCAAGGCGTTTCTGAGATATCGGATCCACGAGGATGGGATGGACGGACACACGTGAAAACAATATGGCTGCTGCTCTGACTGTCGCTGAGGAATAAAAACACAAAGTTTCGTTTCCCACCCAGAAAATACAAAATAAAAATCAGTGCATAGAGTGAAACATAAGAGACGTTAGTCTAACCCGGTATCTCCCTGAAAGAGCTCGTTGGTTAACGACAGACGGCTCGTTGTCATGGCGTCAGTGATGTTCCTTCATGCTTTAGATAAGACTTTCTGCTCCACACGCACAGAGCGACCTTCACGCATCTCATTAGGGAACTTAGTTGAGTATCTGTTGTTTTTTTTTTCTCAGTGAGCAGAGTCCAGGATCTAATGAGAAGGTAAAGCTCCGGTGATGTTGGTGAAGGAGGTCTCAGCTTAGCAGGAGAGAGCCGACCTCTGTCCCGCATCTGAATCTGACAGTCAGCTCTGGATTTGTGTCGTTGCTGTGGAGTGAGGTGAAGCTGATGAAGGAACTGGTCTGTACCTGGAATTACTAGGAGCTGACATCAGCTCTTCATCAGTCGTATTGTATATCAGCACAATTTGAAGTCCATAAGGTCGAGGTTGAAACAGGGGAAAAAGGGTCATCTCAAAGAAATCAAGACCCAGGTCATGTGGACAGTTGTATGTACCTTCAGTTTTAATGCATTCCTCCTTAAATCTGCCTCAAATCCATCAGTTCCTGCAGGACAGAGCGAGTCCTCGGGTCACGATCGAGGCTCGACTTCACGTGTTGGAAAGCGGATTAACCCGAGTTGGAATGAAGTCGACTGAAAAGGTGTAATGCAATTATTGGTTAATAGTTTTATACTTCATGTTTTATAAACAGGCAAACAAAGAGACAAAAGTTGCTCGGTCGATGGGAAGTTTAAAGTCTGAAGCTGCAAAAGTGAAACTGCCTCCAAGACCAGAAAAAAGAAAAGAATCCAAAGTGTCTTGTTTGAATTCCCGATCAAAGAGTTCGACTGCGTCCTCTCTCTGTTGTACTGTCGCTTCAGGTGTGTGAGGTGATTAATTAATTAAAGGTTTTTCTTTGTCCAAGGAAGAAGCTCACACCACTGTGTTGCTCATCGGGATCCGCAAAGAGGCCCGGTCGCAAGTGCTTCACCTCTCCAGGAACAAGCGCTACACCCTCACCCCGGAGCAGCTGAAATGGGACAAGTTCAAACTGACATACAAGTACTCATTTCTAATTCTTCACCTGGTCAGCACAGCAGGAAAGTACAGGTGTAGCCAAAAAGGTCAAAGTGCATCACCTGACAGAACTCCAGAGATGTTTGATTCTTCCTGGAGATGAAGTATCTGTGTTAGTGTAACTGCAGCAGATATATAAGAGAATATCAGGTCACAGTAATGGAGTTGTAACTCTGCAGCGCTGAGGGAATTCTGGTCCGTCTGAACAGTAGCCATTGTGTTTTTGGCAGATTGGTCCTGCTGCAGAGGAATGTGTGTAGAGACGAGTTTTAACCACACCGTGCTGTTGTCTCCGGGCAGGTTGCTCTCCTTCCCCACAAACTTGATAAACGCCAGTGACACGCGTCGAGGCATCGCCAAGGCCTTCGGCATGTGGAGCGACGTCTCGCCGTTCAGCTTCAGAGAGGTGCCAGCTGACCACGAGGCAGACATAAAGATCGGTGGGTGCTCCCCGACAGATGTTTCTTGGCTCCGAGCTCCAGACTTCTGCTTTACTGTTTTTCTCTCCGTGCTGTCTGCACCTCCAGATTCATTAAATCACTCCACCGCAGCTATATTACCAAGCTTATATTCAGTGTGATTCATTATTCTAAACGAAAAAAAAAAGAAAAAGAAAAGCTTTAGCAACTTCCATACATGTCAGCCCACGGCGAGGCCGTCTGAACGATGCTCTGTCCGCCCCTCTGGGTGCAAACTCCAGGGTCCTGCACAGATTCAGAGTGACAGTGAGAGGGATGGTCGTCCTGCAGGGTGAAGCTCTGTCCTCTGTAATCCATCATCCTCCGCTCGAGTCTACACACTGCACTAATAATGGAGTGAGGGTCTCTCTCTCTCTCTCTCTCTCTCTGTTTTGCAGGCTTCTACCCCGTCAACCACACAGACTGCCTGCAGTCCCACTTGCACCATTGTTTCGATGGCATCACGGGAGAGCTGGCTCACGCTTTCTTCCCGCCAACAGGCGAGATCCACTTTGACGACCATGAATACTGGATTCTTGGAAACATGCGCTTCAGCTGGAAGAAAG